AAAATTAGTCATAAATTTAAAAGTTGCGATAACTTTTTTTTTGGTCCAATACTTTTGACCGGGGAGTGTACATATTTTGAGATTTACCACCACATATTTCTGGACACCCTAACTTCAAATTCAAGTTTCATAGGGCAGTCATGTGAGACAGATAGATCGTTTATTGTGCCACACATTACTGCGTCAAGTGGATACGCGTGTCCAGACTAATAAAAAAGTATTTAGTTTTCCCTTTTACGGTACCTATTTTTTTTACCTTACAGGGAATATAAGATGTCTGAAGTTCCAACAATGTATCCTGGTCGCTCAGGTAAGCACACTGATTGTTCCTTTGCCTTTAAAGTACTAATCATATTTGCTTTCAATAGTCCTAGTAACATATTTGAAAGAGCGTAACTCCAAAAGTTAGTCATATGCCGATTTTCTGACCCTAAACCGTGCTATTCTTATCGATTTACCACCATATAAGAGTAAATGGAATACCCTCAATAGCACATGGACTAGACGATTTATGCAGGAAGTGAAGGAACTTTCAGAAGATACTGTGAAGGTAAAGTAATTTTGTTCCCAGTATAGGCGGAAGGGGTCTTCTGACAAGTCTCTATATGTCCTGGAGGTTCAGTGCTTCTATCTAGGAAATTACTGTGTCAAGTCTCTACATGTCCCAAGTGATGGTGGGGAAACTCCTGGCAAGTCTTTACATGCACTTGGAGCATCAGGACTCTTCCTGTTTCCTACCATTCGCGACCCGCCATGTTTTGCTTATTATTGCTAAGCTTTTTTGTTAACTATACAATTATATTAACAGCCGGTGCCCGAAAAAATTAAGGACTATTGGGAAAAAATTATCCTTGAACGAAAGGAGGTTAGTTAAGCTGATTTTCCTTTACTTTATTTGTTTTATAATAATGTTACAATAATTATGCTAAACAGCGGTCAGTAAAACGTACACATCTCTCTGGTAGTCTTGATCTGCTAGATGATGCTGGGAAGCATAATATTCAGAAATTACGCTCTCAAGGGTTTAATGAAGAGAAGGTGAGATCACTAGAAGTACAACTTACTACATACTTTCTGTGTGTGCTTTTACATAATTTTTTTCTTTTATCCTTTAGGAAGGAGAATCTTCAACTAAAAGAGTTCGAGAAAGAAAACCGGTGAATTATTATGAAAGCCAGACAGAAATGGATTCTTCTGGTTCAGAATATCAAGAAAAGTCAAAAAGGGTGAGCAATACTACGCATATTATGTTACTTTGATACTTAATGATTGACCTTTTCTGATTCAGCCTCAAAGGAAATCCACCGATATTGACGATGAAAGGATTTCAGATAAACAAATGGCCCATTTCGATCGCATTTTCCGTCACCTAAACCCGGAAAAGATGTGGACCCTTAAATCTGGTCGTATTGTTGAGAAAATAATTTACGAATACGCAAGAACTTTAAAATACGAGTCCTGTTTACACTCCTTCATCATTAGCGATATTGACGAAAAAGCAAAGTCATATTTTCGAAATGAAGAATGGGAAGAGATATTTTCCTCAAACTGCAAAAAAATGCCAAAAATCGACAAATCAGTTATTGAGCTTCTGAAAAAATATTCAGTAACTGATCTACCTTCATTTCGAAAAATCATTTTTGAGTCTTTCTTACCTACCGATGCTTTATACTTCAACAGGGAACACTTTGACTTAAATTATGTGAACCTTGTATATTGTGCCATACATACACTCTGGGAGGATGATGACGATTTCACTCTGGATTCATCAAAATTGGAAGGATGGTTTCAGCACAACATATGGAGTTTTATTATTGATCCTGCATTCCGTATTAATTCAAGGATTAATTTGATACGTGGAGAAGGTATGAGCCTGGCATCTAGCGATAGAAAGAACGATACAAGTTGTGACGCAGATCATGGGACTTCATCTAGTGATAGTCGTGATATGGATTGAAAAAAAATCGGTAGGAAAGGGGATGGGATTTTTAGGTTGAAAGGTGATAGGTTAGAATTTGGAGCCATTGAAGCAGGAAGAAAGTGGGAAGATAGAAATGGGAGAAAATATATTACTGACAGTCTAAAACTAAGCAAAATGTTAAGAGATATGCTAGTAGTGCTTATAGCGAAATGTAAAGGCAATGAACAAATTGCTAAACAATTACAGACCGTTGGAATGTTACATAGTGGCAATCGATTTTAACTCCTAACTATGGGATATATCTGTCGGGCTCAACGCCTTGACTTTTACGAAGTAGCTGGTCATATAAATGATCCACCATTAGCATTCGTGATAAAGGATGTATTAAGGGCAAAGGCAATTATTGTGCGGACATTGAAATTGGTGCAACAAGGAAAGTCACTTAATTTTAATAGCCTTGATGACTCTGACGATAATAACAAAATTGAAAGATCAAACCGATGTACACTCCCCTCCAAAAAATATCCGACCATCCGTCGATCATTGCAAATCCTAACATATTAAAATTTGAATTACGCCACAACTAATGCATATAAATAAAAAATTTTTT